TCCGAGGATAACTTTGAGTAAATTGTTAAGCATATATTTTATCTTGTTCATTTGCAGGGTAAAGGCAGTCAACAAAGAGGGCCAATCGGAACCCCTAGCGGCCGACCAATACGTGCAAATCAAAGATCCATGGGATGAACCTGGCAAGCCAGGTCGTCCAGAAATTACTGACTTTGATGCTGATCGGATTGATATCGCCTGGGAAGCGCCCTCGAAAGATGGCGGCGCACCAATTGAAGAATATATCATTGAATTGAAAGATCCGGTGTCCCACGACTGGGTGGAATGCGCTCGTTCACCAAGTCCGTTTTAATGTGTTTTTGCTGTGCAGCACTATAGCGCTACTTCAGTGAGCCAAAACGCAGATTGTTGAGAGGATCGCAAACAGTAGAAATGATCCTGCGCTGTATTTTTAACATATTGTCCCTGCACACAGGCAATGATAAATAATGAATTTTATCGCAAACTGAAAAACGAGTGTATTTTGCAAATTTCATAATCCTCTTCCGACTTTCTTCAAATTTGTATTTTTCCAACGGGCGAAAATTCACCGAAAAACGACCGGGATTCATGCAAAAAACTGATAATCATGCACGCTGGAGGTCGATGCCGCCCCATAATATAACATCATCCCAGCGGACGCCATTTTCCTCTTCATGTGGAAAGAGGTCAAACCCCACCGCCAGTGTGAATGTAAGTGTTAAAATACAGTGTTATCCATTTGCAAGCTTAGCGCAAAAAAGCATGATCGCACTGGCAAACCTGGTGCGTTACAGCCGGGTTTTTTTTTTTTTTTTTTATAAATCTAAGTTGCCTTCTGACATGGCTGCATGTGCTGCGCCGTAAAACAAGTCAAATGGATAATGCTGAAAATTAAAAGTCAAAACTTCTCCGTATTCACCCTGTGTGGTAGGCGGCGCCACTGGTGAAGTTGCTCAGGCGATATTCACTGAGATGATGGCGGGTCTGACTTCCTGGCAGATATCGTACCAAATCGCCGTACGACGCAAATGAACGAATCGTGGAGGGATCAGTTGTATTACCAGCAGAATCGAATCCTCGAGATACTGCAAGACAATCGTGTTGCTTCCCACTGCACTATACCCTCCAGCGGATAATGCTAGTTCAAGAGTTTCGCGCCACATTACCTTCAATATAGACTTTGCTTGGATACCGAATTTCTCGCCAACTTTTGCGACATAATATGACTGTCAAGTCCGAAAATTTAGTAGTTTAACTGTTATATACGTTTAAAAATAAGGTGTCACACAGATGGGAAATATTACAATAAGTGAACTCTCACAAAATCCCAACCCAGGCACCTCATCGTGTGGAAATAGCAACGGACTTAGACTGTCGGGAGACGACAGGGCTCAACCTTGGTAGTTCTAAGCATGTCAAGAACACACTGCGCTGCCTTTGTCCGACTAAGTTTGGATAGTAAAAACTAACGTTAGCCTAACCAGCGGTTAGTAGTGTAACAATGGTCAATCAGTTATGCACGCAGAAACGTTAATTGTGCTCAAAATTGCACCATGGGGACAAAACATGAAGAAAAATAAAAATAAGCCCCAGTATCCTGTGCATCCTTCGGCACGGTCTACGGCAGAGGGTCGGCAGCCGGAGGTACCAATTTACTGCCGGCATGAGTAAGTAGTAGCAGGACTGGCTATCCCACTGGCAGAATCGAATATTCGACCTCCAACGCCACC